ATCGTCATCATGTATCATTATCATGTATCATCATGTATCTCCATCGTCATGTATCATCATCAGGCATCATCATCATCATGTATCATCACCATGTATCATCATCATGAATCATCATCATGTATCATCATCATGTGTCATTATCATGTATCATCATCATGTATCATCATGTTGTATCATCATCATGTATCAGCATCGTCAGACATCAGATATTTAACAGATACCACAATACCTTTATTGCTTGGGAAGCATTTGCTGCTTCATTGGCAACGGCTTCGTCTGCTTCCACCAACTGCAATCAAACAGGGTCATAGGTCACAATATGTCATAGGTCACAAACACTGATATGCTAATGACTAAGTCGAGCCGTCGGTGGGCCTTTGAAAAGAAAGCTATTGCTTTGCCTTACTTTTTTCTTTTCTTCCACTTCTGATGTTTCCTCAGCAATGACTTTTATGAGGTCTTCTGTTTCTTTACTGGTCTGGATCAACTCTGGTTGTAGTTCTTTTAATTCTTGTTGCATTATCGCGACCTGTGAAGAAAACACAGCCCGATATGCTGAAAGTTTACAACAACAACGACAGCAGCAACGACAGAAGCAACAACAGCAGCAACAACAACAGCAGCAACGACAGCAGAAGCAACAACAAATGCTACAACAACAGCAGAAGCAACAACAACAGCAGCAACAACAGCACAAGCAACAACAACAGCCACGGCAGCAGTAAAAATAGCAACAATAACATCAACAGCAGCAGCAACAACAACAACAAAAACGGCAGCATCAAAAGAAGCATAACAGCAGAATCACAGTGGCAAAAAAAGATACAAGGGCACCACCACCACCACCACAAGCAACAACCACTCAGGTAACAATTCATTTTAGTAGCAACATTACCAGCTACGAAAAAAGATAAAGGAGATGGAACAGAAGACGAAGATATAAAGTTTTACTAAACCAACCTGAGAGGAAGCGAAGTCTAGTTTTTGAAGACCCTTCAGGTACCGACTTTTCATCGTCAAAATCTGAAGCCTCTTATTCTCTAGAAGTGACTTGAAAGTCCTGATCAGCTCTAGATATGACGTAGGTGTGACGTAGTTATGACGTCGAAGAATGTTGTAATACCTAAGAACAAGGAGTAAGAACGCAATATAATTTTACTACTTTGGAAAGACACCGTAGCAATTTTTAGAGGAAGCCCCTGCTATGAAATGGCTTCCAAATTCAAGGATTGTGATTGGATACCAAGGGACGTTAAATGTTTTTATTGGGTATTTCTGAAAATGGAAGCCATTTGCCAACGATTCTACGTGTTTTCTGATGTATGATGAAAATAGTAAGGGTTAGTTATGACTTTGGTAGCTTGGGGAGCACGGATGGTGTGCGCTGCGCATGCGCCACCTCTCACGAGTTAGGTCCTCAGACCTGTCATTTTATGTGAGCACATGCAGTTGCTGGTTATTCAGCTTTGTTCCTCTCTTGTGCTTCGAAAGTTTTTCTCCTTTTTTCCTTCCTCCGCGAGAAAACAATTCTATAACTTCCAATGCAATAATGAATGAGAGCCACCGGTTTGTTAGCCGCCTGCTATTTAGTGCTACCCTTCAAAACAAGGACGATTTCACTATTCACCTTTCGGATTCACATAGCACGCTCTGATGGAAATGTTTGCACACAGAAACACATTCCTTTCGTACTTCTAGTGACATCTCGACTTCGTCCAGGAACTTGTTGGCCACCATTTCCAGCGCATCCTCTGGCCATGCCTTGAAGAAAGAGATAAGAAATAAAAGATAATAGAATTGAAATTAAAAATAAAAAATAAAAAGAAAGATTGTACTTATAGTAGATACTGAATTTGAGGGTAAAAAGATATAGAACCAGCAAAACAAGAAGCTGTGTTATCAGATCGAAGGCTTGAAAAGGAACCAATTTTGTTTGTGTAAGAAAAATAAAAGAATGGAAAGATAGAATGGATTCCATGCAACAGAACAAATGATAACTAATGAGAATAATAAAGATAAATAAGGTATTGACGATTCAGAAGGATATATAACACGTAAAAGAATGGTAGCATCAAATACGATACCTGGAACCAATCAATGGTACAGCAGTTGATGAGTGACGGGAACATTCGAAGTCTGTTCCTGAAGGCGTCACCGATGGGACTCATGGCAAGAACCACGTGTAGGTTACAACGAACTCGCTCGATGAAGAAATTGTACATTGCGAGGGGACTGGAATCTACTTTGAGGTTACGTTCCTGGACGATTAATTGCATCTGAGGAAGGAAAAAAATATATACTCCTTGTGATTATAAATTATGTAAAGTAAAGAAGTATAGAAGTATGCAAGGCAAATAGACTTACTGACAGAAATGTAGACAGACAGACAGACAGCGATTGACTGACTGACTG